AAGAAATAATTAAGTATCTTGATAATGTCAGTTTCAGAGATTTTTAGTTTGAATCCGAGCGGTTTTTTACAAAGTCCGATTTATCTCTCTCTAAGACAAGGTGGCTATTCTTTTTCATGAAACAAAGCAGGACCCATTTTTCAATTTGTCTGCTACTTTGGGATGGGGAATACTTGTGTAAAGAATAGAAAAGTAGAATGTTTTAATACTATTGCTAGAGGAAAGAGATTTAGATTATACTCCAATAGATCTTTGGATTTTTTGTATCATCAACATCTGGTGCACACCTTACCGAGAGTAGATAGTTTCACAATAACTCAGAAGTCCGGCTTTGCTTGCTGATACAATTGGTGTCAATAATTATCTATAATGAGGTTTCGTGAAGCACTTGGACAACCCAGCAATATAACGTTGTGTGTTAGGACACTGATGTAATTTAGGTATCCGAAACAGTGAAGGAAGACCCAGTTCTTCATCTTTGGTTGAAATTCCTCAATGCAGTTTTTAATGTGATTTCCTAACAAAAACGATGTTGTTTAGGGCTCTATATAACATATTTATCATGGAGGTAGGACAGCAGTATTTTAGTCTTTAAAGACCGATGTAGCATGTCGTTGTGTGAATATTATGCTAGTAATGATGTACTTCTTCTAATAGTGGTAAAAATTTAGATTTAAGTTTAAAAGAGGAATATCATAAATATTTGAATGAGACATAAAAAGTTACATAGGAATCGAATTAACGTACATGAAGAGTAACTCATCGTTCGATTGTTCTTTTAACAAACCTGCAACTAAGATAACCTTTTCTGGAGATATTTCACTTCACTACAAATAATGTTGTTATATGAATTTATTCCTATTTTCATGGAGATAGACCATGGATTTTTCCACTGTGTAATATTCCTAATTCTGGACTGCTGGAATTTGCAAGGATTGCTCATAGATTGAGCTGAAACCATGCAAACAATTTAAGCATAGTACTACTAAGATAACAAAACTTTTGATAATTATTTTACAGCAAAAATACCTGAAGAATAGTGGAGATACAACACCACAAAATATTTTTCTCTGAACAAACTAAATAAATAGACAAATTTGAGTGTGGAGATGGCTTAAGGTTGTGTGGTCGTTGAAACAAATTAGAATTAAAACTGAATGGGTCACGATGTGTATTCGTCGTATGAATCTTAAAGTGTTATATGTCCACTTTTGATAAAAATGGAGATAGCTACATGTATATGTTTGATATCCAAGTGCAATGGTCCATCTCCCTATACAACAGTAATACGAGATTTCTATACCCTCATTCTGAAAGAGTGTGTACATTTTTTTTGCGTTAAGTACATTGCCAGTCTCAATCTTCTACTGAGTTAAGTAGTATTTTGAAGTTGTGTTTCCAATTGACGGATTTAGGCTCATGATATTTAGGGCCTTTGGATAACACATTTCGCATAGAGTTTTCAGGTCACCAGTAATAACGTGGTCAGCCAGATTATATATGAAAGGGGAACTAAAACAAGTGCAATAAGGAGGTTTAGACTTGAAGTAGTTAATATTTAGATCCTGCAATACGTGTTTTAATTGAAAATTTTAGCCGCAATTGGTTTGGTATATGTATATGGTACATATGGATCTTTAAAGAGGGAAAGTATTTTCGAGTGAACTGATTTATGAAGAAGGATATTGCCAAAGTTGATAACATAGCGACCTTTGTTGTTTAGTGCGACTTAATTCTTTTTTTTTAAACGGCACTATTGTAAAATACATTCAGGGGAAATTGTCCTCTATTCCTTTTTACTTTCTAATTCTTTTTATAGGGTGATACTCGACTTTTCTCGTTTTAGTTACATTTTGAGCAAAACTGTATCTATAGTGCCTTTTTAAAAAGTAATCTTAGTCCGATCATGGTACATGTACATGTGCTAAAGATGATGTGTAACATTGTTCGATAAAAGCCCTTGTGCAAAATTTCACTTCACATTCTGAAACATGTTCTTGGAGTAAAATAAACTTATTCTCCTATCTAAGTGCACGCGCAGAGCTTAATAGACCGTCTACGGACAAATGCATATATTTGTTCAAATTTTTCAACATTATTCCTTTAGAAACCCACAACATCAACCCTTTAAACACTTTTGTGTTGACACGATTTATCATTGATATTGTCGTATTTATAAATTCGCTGATAACAAAACTTTAATTTGTTTGAAATACTACGGATTTTCTATCCAAGAAATATATTACCTTAGATGTGCTATTACGTGGTACTTTATTTGGCCTCTCAACTTTTTTTAATTCGAGCGCCACTGGCGAGTCTTTTGTGGACGAAACTCGCGTCTGGTGTAGAAAAATATAAGCTTGGTATCTTTGATGAGTTAATTTTATTAAAAGAGACTAATGTATAAACGTAGTACAAAATAAATTCAGATGGAATATAAACCCGTGGTGATATTTTATATAAATTATTACACATTCTTTTAAAAGAAGGCAGACAGAACCGAAAATCGAAACTGCAAATTTACAATACCTTGGAAAACGTAAAACATTTCTTTCTTAACTGTCAAACATAGATACTAATGAACTTAAAATAATAAATCAACCTAACATCTCCCAGTCAAATTAAAACAATAGTTTCCTCATAAAACAGTCATTTGGAATGGGATCGGGAGACAAGCCTTTTTCAATCTTTACTTGTACTTATATGATTTCATTTGATTTTATATGATATTTTTTTGTCACGAACAGTATAAGTGTCTGATGGCAATTGAATTTAATTGTAAGTATCATGCCTTGGGCTGTTCACTGCTCTTTGGTCGGGTTGTTGTCTCTTTTACGCATTCCCTGTTTCTATTTTCAATTTTATACTGTTTACCTTACAGACACAAACTGCATCCTTCAATATATAGCGTTTAAACTGATTCGTTTTATGATTTTTACAAAGAGCTTTTAACGTTGAATGCGAGGACTATACGGGATATGTTTTTTTAATTTGTTGAAAATAGTTTTAAGAATTTCATTAATGCAGTGGATAAAATGTAGAAACTATAGCTTTTTATGGTGTTTCGGGGTAAATAGGAACCGTAGCCTTGCGCAGTTTTTAAACTGTACAGAAGTTTTTGCAAAACGGATGCGTTTTTTTTTGTCACCAAATGACAGCGAAGATTTGGCAGAAGAAGAGTGGAGTACGTTGTACTAATAAGTTTTTTTCTGAGGATTGATATAAAATTAATGGAACCTATTGAAAAGAATTTCCATAATATTCATTATGTTTTGTTTTAAATATTGTTTTCCTAATTTTCAGGCTACAGTGGTCAGTTTAAGTTTCAAATCTATTATATTATACATTTACTATACATTATAGGTCAACAGTATTATGACCTGGTGTGAGGAGTAAAGGTCCGTCATGCATATTTCTTATGGCCTTGCGTTTTCTTTACGATTTAGTGGTCTATTAAAGTGTTCAGAGTTAGTTCTCTGTTCATTGGGAACTATACATAAGTCAATAATATTTGGTAGGTAAATGGTTTATGTAAAGATAATAAGTCTATCTGACAAATTTTATATGACCCTAAACTTTATGTCCATATGATATATTCACATCGTCTTAACCTCATTTACATGCTCCAGTCATCTGGATATTTTTTCCGGATTATGTCAATTCTTTGGCAATTAAAAAGACAGGGAATTTGGATTTGGTTTGTGGGGATATATCAGTCTAACATGCCATATTTTTACAGCACTGGGTCGATACCTCTGTTGTCTGACTATCAGTTCCCGAAGGTATCATTAGCTCAGTGGTCACTACTTAAGTACTGACATGATTTATGTTTGCTCAGTCTTTGATTTCCTATGTTGTGTTGTGTACTCTTGCTTGTCTGTTTGCCTTTTTCTTTCTTAGCCATGGCGTTGTCAGTTTATTTTCGACATATGAGTTTGAATGTCCCTTTGGTATCCTTCGCCTCTCTTTTATAACAAATATTTCTAAAATTGTCCGTTTAAAGGAGTAGGTCCGGTAAGGGCCGATTTTGGCCCTAAATTTCAGGTTCATCTGATGAAAGATTTTGGACACTTTTTAAACACTTACGTGTCTACTTTAGTAGAATCAATTTATTTATGTGAAAGATTTGAACTTATTTAGTCATTAAAGACGCTCATATTCAAGCTTAACTGTTATGAATCTATCAAATATGCCATAATATGACACTTTTCAGATGGTTTTTGTCAAAAATGAAAGTGGCCGCATCGGTGTTCATCCTCAACCTTTATATATGTTATGTATTATCATCAAATACAACTTATATTTAAATATTAAGAATAAACACAAATGCGACCACGTCCGTTTAAGACGGAAACCGTCTAAAAATTCACTCAAATGCTAAAATTATGAAGATTTCAGTAATTTAGCATGCTAGTACCCGATAAATATACATTGTATTATCAAAAACAGCCCATATGTATGTAACAGAAGTATTCTACTTTCCAATGAATAGCTAAAAGTTTACATTTTTACAATTTTGCAAAACTGCTATATTTTGGGGCCAAAAAGGGGTCTTACTGAACCTACCCCTTTTGAAATTACAATGAAACTAAGGTTTCATCTCCATTAGGCAAGGTTGGTCTTAGATGGATTTGGCTATTTGTTTAGGTCCTTTTCGGTCATAAAGTTCACCAACTGTTTCGGTTCTTAAGAATTCTTGGCCTTCAAATATTCGGCTTTGAGCGTACCTGATAAATTTAAGTCCAGAAAAGCGCTTCGGACACATGACATTTATGACTTGTTGTTTTCATATTTTATATACATTTTTAGTTGGGCAAATTTTTTAGCTTTATTTGCAAATACCGGTACATGATATGTTATCAATATTTTGTATGGGAATTCATGAAAAGTAACCTTGCACTCAAATTCAAAGTTATTTACCTTTAAAAAAAATATTGTATCTTGCGGAAAGAGTTTAGTGTGTCAGTTATATTTTGATGGGACGTTATGAACATGATAGATCATGAGGCCTTCAAATTTATCAAATTTGCGTGAACTCTTTACAGTTGCTATACAAACTACATTATCCAGCATTAATAGTCCTATAATGTTCGTTTCTAATATATATTTGTGTGTAATAAACAATTTACATTGTTGTTATTAGGAATCCTGTAAATGATGCCAGTCTGTTACCATGGAGTCGTTCTGTCTGTTCATTGCTGTTTGTTATACGGGTCACTTCAATGACATCACCCTTCTTTAGTTCTAAAATAGCTTCCATGTCAGCAGTGTTATAATTTTGTTGTGCAGTGCTACGGGCGACTTCAAACCCGTTTTTGTTCATTTGCAGATGAACTATATCATTACTTTGCGACATCCCTGTACTTCCGAAACGATACAATCCATCAAAATGCACAATGAATTTTCCTGTTTTCGGATTATAACCTTTACCAATGTTAGTGTATACATGATCAAAAACTATTGTTTGGCTATGCTCGAGGTCGAGATCTCTGGTTGAAATTGCGTAAAAAGCGATGATTCCTTGGTTAATCAAAGCTAAAAAGAAAAAAGAAAGAAACTATCACAACAAAATTGACAGTTAACGGCAGAAATATGAAAAATATATCATTTAGATTTATACGTGAAATCAGCCGATCATAATGGTTTTACTTTGTCAACAGTATGAGGAAATCAATATAAGGCCACCGTGCTAACTAGAAACACGAGACAACAGGGAAATATGAGGAAATATCAATCAAACAGCTTTTTTTCTTTCTTTTTTTTTTTGCTATTTATCTTCTGAATCACGGACACTGAAAGAACTGAAACAATAACCTACACCGAGCACTCCTTTCTATCACTACGTGATATTCTGTAAAATTCACCGATAACCACTGCAAATGTCTAGAGTTGAATGAATAATTTAAATTGAAATAGTTTATTAACTCTGATATTTAAAATAAATAAAAAGTTAAGTTGGCAATAATTTATATGGATAGATTCAACCGTGTGATCACTTTTACATCGAACTTGTACGGGTTTCTTGAAAAATGAGACCTGTCATATTTAGTTGAGGAATTTCGTTTTGTAAAATCACCGAAAAGGGAGCATTTTCGGGAAGGATGGCACACAACATGAAAATTTGTTTTGTTAACTGGTTTTATAACTGATTATTTTCAAATGAACTCATTTTTAGCGCTTTTCTGGATTAGACTTCTTTAAGAACGATTAAATCCAAAGATTTATAAGCTAAGGCCGAAAAAATACTTGAATATTTGAGGTTCTATATGACCAAAAGGGGCATAAAAATATTGCTAAATCAATCTGAGGTCAACTTTGCCTTTGCCTGAAGAAGTTGGAACCTCAGTTTCTTAAATAATTCTTAACTAATTAACCGAGAATATAAGAAAGGTACAAATGTTGTTTCTTACAAGATTATAATATCTGTCTAATATTCTTACAGTAGCCAATAAATAATATTTAGTAAAGTTGCTGTTGTGAAATCTCTTACCGTTAGTCTTTTCATTGCTTGTTGAGTTCCTCGAGTCCATTATGACATCCAATATCTCGTCTTTTGAATCTTTTATAAGTTGAGTTAATGCTAAATGTAAACATAATGTATTACAGTACAATGATAGGATTGCGGTCTTGATGTATAGATTCTAGGTATTGACGTTGTTTATCATCTTAATTACGTGTTATAGTGTTCTTTTATTTGTCTTTGTAAATTATTAACGTTTACTGTTCCGTCCATTTTTTGTAATATCCTATAGACGTGGCTCGGTACTTGTACATCCCGCCATTGTGTTGTTGTGATGTTGTCATCTTTTTATTCTTGTGTTTCAATGTTGCATATGTGCTTTGTCTATATGCCATTTTGTTTTTCTTTGTTGACATATTTGTTTGTTATTTGTTTTTATAGTGATTGAGATTATGTTGACTGCTGTACCCCTATTTTTGACATTTTTACCTATTATGTCTGTTTGTTTTGTTCACACATGGTTGTCAATATAATGGAATTTTATGCGACTGTCATACAAGTGAGAGGTTTAGCTAGCTTTAAAACCAGGTTTAATCCACCATTTTCTACATAAGAAAATGCCTGTACCAAGTCAGGAATATGATAGTTGTTTTCCATTCGTTTGATGTGTTTGAGCTTTTGATTTTGCTCAAGCTTGCTTATAATATGTGAAAATACTTCTGCGACGGACGGAAAGACAGACGGAAGGACGGACGGAAGGACGAACAAGGGTAACACTTAATGCATACTTCGCCTTGTGGTGGGGGCATAAAAATTTACAACAAAAAGAGAAAAGTTTTCATTTTCCATCATTAAATTTCCTTTTTTGGAAGGTGATGTTCCTTTGGCCCTACTAAATTCTTTCGTTAATACAAATATTTGTATAAACTTCAGGTGTAAAACTCAAAAAATTGTTGAAAAATATCTTACAGAGTCCGAATTATAATACTCTCAAAACGTTGGCTGTACTTCTTTGTTTTGTCTATTGTTGAAGATCGAATGTTGCCCTCTAGATAGATCGTTAGGTTTTCTTTGTCGTTGGATTGTTTTCTCATTGACGTATGCTCACATGTCATTTATATCGGAAATTGTATTTGCATTTGCTCTCAAGCCTGTTTTTCTCTATTAACAATACTTATAAAAAAAAAAATCAAAGAACAAACAAAACAGACGTTTGCTTATGTTCAAAATTTCATAAATCGACCAAGGTAACAAACAAAAAAAACCTGATGGAATCGCTTTAACTCTAAAAAGAACGAGACCGATTGCGTCGACAAGGTAGGGAGGTGTACCTTACTATGCATGTATCACTCGTCAGCCGAATCAACACTCAGTCAAAATGTCACAATCGGGAATAGGATTAAAGCCAGTAATTAAGCTAATTCATATAAAAATAAGAAGATGTGATATAATTGCCAATGAGACAACTCTCCACCCGATACCAAATGACGTAGAAGTTAACTACTATAGTATATATGTTTTCGATTTGATATTTTTGACACCAAAATAACAGTAGTGCTATTGGTTTTGTATCATAAAGCATTTTTTCAGCCATGTAGCTTTACTGCCATTATCAATTTGTTTGTTTAAGTATCCTTCTGGTACATTTTTTTTTAATAAATACTCATGATTTGCCCAAATCTGTCAACACTGCATTTTATAATAATAATAATGATCATTTCTTTATTTCAACAGGATAACACATTTAGTTCAAAGACTATTTTACAATAAGGTCCTCTATTTTATACTTATATTACAACATTAAGTAAAAGTTCAATAACATTAGTACTAATACAAAAAATAAACTATAATTGTACTGTTAGAAGAATTGAACAAAATAATCTTCAGTATATAATTTTTAAAAGGTTCAATTGGGTTGCATTGTTTTAAATTTGTAGACATATTGTTCCATAAAATATTTCCAGATATCAACAAGGAGCATTTATAGTATTCAGTTCTAGTTTTTGGAACAAAAAGCATATTACCAGCACTTTGATGATGCATGGGTTTGGGGCCATCTTCAGGCGTTTATTAGAATATAGCAAAGTACTCTCGACCAATGAAATTGAAGAATTGGATGCCTCTTAATTGTGAAGAATGAATGTAAATCATGTTCTTAGTAAGGGATTATCCTATTATTTGGGTCTTTTACAGTTCAAAACAAAGAGTTTCTATAAATGAGTTACAACTGCCCCGAAGCACATTTATCAGATTGAAAGGTTTTATCACACAGTGATTGAAACTGACTAAAAGTTGAATTGTGAAACAAACAAAAATCTCAAAATAAGTTGAAGTTTACTGGTGCAGTAAAATTGGTACCGTGAATTTTATTATGAAAATATTAATAACTTCAAATTACTATAAAATTTAACATTACCAAAGCAATGCAAAAAAAAAAGAAAAAAAGTCTTTCAGATAAAAAAATAACCTAAATCTTTAGCTTTCCAAAACTTTGATTACTTGATCAGCGGTTGGGGAGAATAGTTATTTCCAATACAATTATTCCGATAAAAAACAGGAATTAAATTTTAAACATATTAAAAACTTTTAAGGGCATTATTTTTGAGCATTTCCCTGACATAATGAAACAGTATTTGATGTAAAAAGCCGGACCAAATTATTGGCTGTGAAATAAAATTTAGTTGTAACTCTAATGTATTAATTGATTTAAACTGTAAATAAAACAGGATAATTCCTCACTAAAATATTACATGATTTGCATTCATACTCACAATCAGGAAACATACAATTCATACCTTTTCTTTCTACTGTTGTGTCACCTAATATCTATTAACGCATTTTTTTTTTAATATTTCCCAAATGATAAGAAAGTCCTCACATCACTTAAACTTATCCATAAATGACATGCCGAAAAAGGAAGTCATGCATCAATTATAAACATTGCACTGACAATGAAACTAATTCTTGAATAGATCATTTAAGCCTTGAGCACTTTACAATATTCTAAGTTTGTAAGAGAATGACAATCCCTTACTTCATGATAAGTACTCGCTAACGCTCGTACTTATTCATGAAGAAAGGGATTATCATTCTCTTACATATACTAAGTTGGCGAGTTAACTTTGTTATACCTCCAAAGTACACACGGAGTTGTGGTTCAGTAAATTAAAGTCAAGATTGAAAAACTGTGAGAATTGCCCTGGTGTGAATAGAATTCAGGGGAAATTGGTCCTACTACTTTTTCTTAAATGACTGGAATCAATATTTTATACTTTATTACCGATTATGTTTGTTCGATAAGACCTATATTAACTTTAGTGTATACAAGCAAAATAAACGTTTGTTTAATTTCCAAACTTATTGGTGTCTTGTTTCCATGTTGCTGTGAAGATTGTTTAATTTCCAGACTTATTGGTGTCTTGTTTCCATGTTGCTGTTAAGATGCTTAATTTCCAGACTTATTGGTGTTTTGTTTCCATGTTGCTGTTAAGATCTCTTTATCTGTTTTTCTTGGAGTTGAGGGATAAGTGATTATAGGTGCATCCTTTGGAGTTTCTTTTGTTTCATCTCTTGGAGTATGAACCGACACAGGAGTTTGTGGAAGATCAATTGATGGAGAAGGTGCGTTTGGATCATTGTTGAAATCTTGTGATCCCCATGGGGTACCTTTCAGGGCTGGATTGTTACTGTCAACCCTTTTCACTGGAACATTTCTTGTTGTCGTGACCGGTGTTTTCTGACTTCTAAGTGACAAAGGAGAAATAGCACTATCTAATGGTTGCGCCACGCCTTTCACAACAACTGGACCGTTCTCGTGAAGTACTAATGAAGGCCACACCAAAAAGTCATATTTATCGCCTGATTTTGTATATGGACGGAATAAATCTGAATCGAAGTCCGCTTTTCTGATAATTTTTGACAGTAAGAACAAAGGAGGATCTTGCAACGTCATATACCACGTGACAGCTATACATCTTTCAGCATATCTTACCACATGTTCGTTTCTATATTCTTTGCCTTCGAAGAAAGTTGGTAAAATGACATCCGAAAAAGACTGAAAAATACTCAACTTTTTTAAATAAATCTCAAATGTTTTTAAATTGTTTTGTATGAAATCACTAACATTTCAATTTAAAATCTCATTCTTCATCTGAACAGGGCTTAAAATTAATATACCTGCAATTAAACACTTAAAAATAAACTGCCTTTCTTCTATTGGAAACAGCTAATACTCATATCACAATGAATTCAATTTTCCCTTGAGGCATCGATCTCAACATATATTATTGTTACAATTTTTAAGATCATCTCCGATTGTAAAATCAATGTTGAAATCCTCATCAAAATATTTTTTGTTTATTCTACAATCAAGTTCTAACATTTTTTACCTTTATCAGTCAAAATGAAATTTATAGATTTTACGATCCATGTAAATATCATGTGCAATTTTGTTAAATGATACGAGAACAAATAAATAATGATGAATAATATAAAAGATGATCGATGCAAATTACCAACCCCCAAATTTTAGTCAACCATAATAATTTCATCAAGTTTTGATGTCCAAAATATGGACATAGTTGGTCGCCTAAAACAAAAAAAAATACTAATAAAATTATAGTAATTATAAAGGACTAATATATATTTTACCTTGTAAATCATTCGTATCAATGGAAAATAGCATCCCATAAATGAAATAGGACTTGAAGTTAAAAACCATTAGAGTTAAAGCTTAATTTTCCTTCGTGAATTTCTAAAATATTATTGCTCACCTAGATGATTCGATAAAGGATGACTTATGATTAGAGAGTTAATTTCAAAAGCAAGATTTGTCTAGTTTTCTCAATAATGCTGGTACACTTATATACATAAAATATTCTAAAGCTTATTTCGCATCTGTAAATGTGTGCATCCTTCTACTAAACGAGACCGACGGACAAAGTAAACAATTAAACACGAAAACTAAAATCTTTAATGTGTAGGTAGTATCAATGGACATCCATTACCTCACAGCACATACCATTGACGTCATGTTAAAATCTTATTTGTAAGGACACAAACTTAAGGCGTGATAAGTTAAATATAAATAAGAAGATGTGGTATGAGTGCCAATGAGATAACTCTCCATCCAAGTCACAATGTATAAAAAGTTAACAATTATAGGTAATAGTATGGCCTTCAACACGGAGCCTTGGCTCACACCGAACAGCAAGCTATAAAGGGCCCAAAAATGACTAGTGTAAAAGAATTCAAACAGGAAAACCACCGGTCTAATCTATATAAAAAACAAGAAACGAGTAACACTTATGAACCACACCAACAAACGACAACCGCCGAACAACAGGCTCCTGACTTAGGACTTGTGCAGAAAAATGCAGCGGGTTTAAACGTTTTAACAGGCGCCAACCTCACCCTAACCCGAGACAGTAGTGTAACATTACAACATAACAAACACACTATAAAATATCAATTGAAATGGCTTAACCCGATCAAAAAGACATTTAAACAAAAACAAGTAAACATTCACTAAGCGAATAAGTTTGATCTATGACACAATATAAATACAATATTAATAAAAAAAAAGATGTAGGAACCGTGTCAAAAAGACAACTCTAACCTGGGACAACATGGCGTTAAATAAAACAACGTACACAGGTTAATTTTAGTATAATAATTTTGTTGTTAGGAGTACGGAATACATTTTTTACCAAATTAATAAATTTGTTGTTCAAAGTACGAGTACATAAGTGAAAATTTATCGTCATACTAAATACTTATTAAAGGTGGTACATATTAAAAATAGTGAGACGAGATACAACACAAAATAAGTAAACATTGAATTACAGAAATGCATTACAAATTGTGTCAACAGGTCAAATTAACACGAAAGTACGATTTGAGAGTACTCGCTGTTACTGAAAGTTAGTTAAAAGCCAAAAACAATTAAGGGAACCTTCAAGGGGGGGGGGGGGGGGTGTATTGTGTTTTTCGCTTTGGACATTCAAAGAAGACATGACTTGTGCAATGCCAAAATAAAAGTATCGACAGGCAGTAGGATCGTAAAGATTTAACCTTATAAAAAAATATGTATCATGTTATATATAGACAAAGCAATCTCTAAATAGAAAATAAACGTGGGCGTGTATTTAAACATCCCAAAAACAATTCGAAAAGAATGAAAGTACACTTTATAAGCATGAAATAAAAGACTAAGTCCCAATCAGTATGTGCATTGATACCGTAACGAGATGTCCACAAAGGTGGATGCGAATTCGAGCATAAAAGTGAGCTATGTTCTATAGCAAGAAGATTGATCAATCGGAAACCAGGATACATATCTTGCCCTTTCGCTGTGAGAAGACGAAATAATTTGTTATCCACACGGAAGGCCTGCTACGAATGATTCCGAGAACAGAAATATGCATGTTATACACCATTTTGTAGACAAAACATAACAAGTTTCAATGGGAAAGAAAACTGTGCAATCGAAATATAACAGAAGTCCGCGAACGAATGCAATTTTTCAAAAATGCAAGTTGGGTATCTTGTGTCATATTAAGGTATATAGGTAATTTTATCAGAAAAACATGCCTGTGGTTTGAAAGGAGTTGCGGATTAACAATATATATAAGCAGAAATGGTTAAGTCAACGTTTTGATATTGGCAACAATCCCTCACATAAAAAAAAATAGAACAGCAGGTAGACAACTTCATGTCTTGTGGAAGAATTCTGAAAATTTGGTTGAATTTTGCCAAACCGTTAGTTGCAGATAAATAAAATGTGACGCCTACGACGACAAAAAGGATCCCTTTTGTCGCTACATTTCGGCGCTGTCTTGCGTCACAAAAGTAAAATATTATAAATCGTCCTTCAATGAACACAAATATGCTCAACGTTTACCTTCTGTAAATTTGGAACACATTCTGTTGACGATGTTTTTCTGTATGTTTTTGTTAGTTCTGCCAATTTACCGGAAACATCTACTCCATTTTCAAGCATTTGTATCCGTTTGTTCTCGGTCCACTTATGAAAAAAAATGAAGTTTATTTTTTTGAATGGTAAGACTAAGCATTCAAAATAGTTACATACGGAATAATACTATAAAAATAAACTTGCTCTAATTCTTATGGTGTTATGTTGTTATGTTGTTATGATATTTGTACATTTTGTTAAATGATTTAACATGAAGACTTTATGTTAACCTCAAGATGTCGGACTTTGGTATTTTTTCTTATTTGACGTCTCTTTGGCCTTTGCCTGGTCTGATCAAATTAGTAAAAATTGGGAGCAACTAAAGATTTGCTCAATTCAATTTGTCAATAGCAATTTAGAAAGCAGATCATTTATTCTACAATATTGATTTACTATAAACTCTTTTGGATAATAATTTGGTCATGCATTAAAGTACTAGTAGCATTGTGTAATTTCTTTATGTTATAGGACGTATTTATCAATTAAAATTAGCTTACCGTTGAGAGCGGACAGCTTATTTCCCCACCAAGATTTAACAACTGAGTTTTGGCTATATCCTCACAAAACACATATGCTCCCTTTAAAAGAAATGTAGAAAAACACAATGACGCCTGTTCTGATGTAAAAAAAACCCAACTTTTCGGCCCAATAATCAATGTAGTCAAGACGACGCAAGGAAAGTTAGATTAAGTAAAACTTTCATTTATCGTGTTCTGCAATTTCCACACATCACCAATTATTTTCCCTTTTTCCTAGCTCCTTCGGAGGTCTTTTGGAAGGAAGTTTTTTTTCGGGATGAACCACAGTATAATATCTTAAAGAGGATGCAAGAAATGATGAAGTTCTGAAGATTATAATCTTATTTAAAACTCTATACTTCTTTCACAATACTTTGATGTATTAGTTTTTCCTTTTAAAGAAAAAGGCATTTGTTACTTGTAAACATTGCATCTTTTTAAGGCTATTAGGGAATTTACATCAATCAAAGAAAGTGTTTTGTCTTGTATGATTTCTTGTATTTGTTTTTTTTTATAATTTCCCATGGCGTTTATAAGGAAGTTTTCCTCATTTGATTTTATAAAAGGAGTGAAAATTGCTTTTTAGGATGCACTTTACATATTAAGAAGAACATTTATGTGCTCGTTAACCAAGATACAAACCAGGTTTAATGGAATAAATGCACTTTATTTTTTTCCAATTAAGTTGCAATAATTCGAATGAAGACCGTAACTTTCATTTTGTTAATATAAATACCAAACAACTCACTATAAAAACTTTTCAATTAACAAGAAAATGTTATCCTTATATGACGTGATATTTCGCTGCATAGAAATCATAGAAGAGTAGATGCACGCGCTTGGTGTTATAGTAAAACAACAATCATATGTTCCGACAATGTTAGATGGGAATCCAAACAGCATCTTAACTAACTAAAACAATTTTTCACATATTAAATGATATTTTTTGCATGGTCGTTTGAGAATGTTTTCAAAAATCTTCTTCGATTACGAAATCTATTTTATTATATGAAATTATAAAGAAACTAAGGTTTCAAGTTCCTCATGCAAAGTTGACCTTAGTTGAATTTGTCTATTTTTAGGTCCTTTTTGGGTTATATAGCTCTTCAACTGTTTCTGTTCATATACATCCTTGGCTTTCAAATATTTGGCTTTGATCTTTTCTGATGAATTCAAAAAAAGCGGTTCGGACGCATGAATTCTATAACGAGTTGTTTTAATTTTTTAAATAAAAAACAAGTCAACCCTATATCTCTGTTGAACACATTATATAATTCCTGTTTCAATTGTTTTAATAAGTATTTTTTCTGTTTATCTTTTACGTCTAATTTTAACAATCCATAGATGGTCAATTTATCTTTCAATGACGCATTTTATTAAAATATCTGGATACAGGCCTGCAATGCCTAGTAAAAACTTACTAGCCTCGTGTTTGTATTCTTTTCCAGGGTCAGAAACCTCGTCGCTAGTTTGACTAGTTAAGTTTTCGTGCTTTCTTCATTTAGGGAATCGGTGTTGTTGGTAGATTTCCTATAGTCTCTGTTAGGTTTATTTACAAACTTTTGCTAGTCTCAGGGCGGATTTGGAGTTGGACATTTTGTATTGGGAATTATCAATTTCATAAGACCGTATGTAAGCATCTAGACGTCTTTTGGTTTTTGTGTCGACAGGTTGCTGTCTCATTGACGTCATTACCATTTCAGTGCATTTTTTAATACTATCAATTTCGATCGTAAGATTGCTTTGTTGAACAAGTCACTGACATCAAATCAAAATATACTGTTGAAACAGAGACATGTTTCGCCTGTATAACTTGAAAACTGTAAAACTTTCAAAGTCAGTGGACCATAACGGAGGAGATGAGGCCAAATAAATTTAAAAAATGAGGTATGCCAATGGTTGTACAAATGCCTACCAAACATCATTGACTTACAGGACTTAGTAGTTCCCATCAAACTGACCTAATTACAAACTTTAACAATTGTCGACGCTTAAAACAGTGCGCCTAGCTTTGCCTCCGCGACTTCGTCATAAAATCTACTTTTGAGAATGATAAAGATTTGACATATACCCTGATTATTCTCTGTAATATCTCCAATATCTTGTCTTCTCGTAGGTTCATTATGTTATCTAAGTATTGATAAGCCTCCATCCACTGATTGTCGTACAACTGCGAGTACATTTCTCCCACTTTTAATGCACGATTTGGATCATTTAAATCGGCAAATTTAGATTGTTCACTGAAAAACAAATTTCAATATAATCATTAGCAATCATACCATATCATCTTATTTTTATATTCATATTCGTAAAGCTTGTTCACAGAAACAGCTTCCCTGGTTATCTTTTCATAAATGAGGCATACTGTAGATTTGGTCCTTAATGCTCTTCAACTTCGTACTTTATTTGGCCTTTTTAACATTTTTTTATTCGAGCGTCATTGATGAGTCTTTTGTAGACGAAACGCGCGTCTGGCGCAAAAATAAAATTTCAATCCTGTTATCTATGATGAGTTTATTTGTAGAAAAAAACATTGCTTTTCAATATTTCAAAATTTATTTGATTAGAGTCCATGAACGTCTATTTGAAACTTTTTTTAACGTAACAACATTTCAGAGAGACAGTAAACGATCATAGTTCGTCATAGACTAAATTATGTTGAAATGAAACACTAGGAAAACTAACAAACCTGTGTATGTTCTGTTCAATTTGACGATGCCTTATTTGTTCTTGTAAATCAACACACATTTGTGACTTAAGATTTAGCTCCGTCTGTAGTTGTCTGATTTCTGATAAAAGATCATGATGTGATGTTATAGGCTCCTGACAGTTGGGACATATATTTCGCCCATCTGTTATTTTCGGAGATTTTGCCGATGAACTATGTTTTAGCTTTTCGCCGTTTTGTGCTGAAAGCTATAAAATAAAGAAGTGCGGAAGAAAAATAAATAAGTTACTTTTTCTTTGTTTTATGATAAAGCAGGTTAAATTTAATCATGTTCTAACATCTTAGAAAGCTGAAAATATATAAAACAATGCAGCTACGAAAAGAAAAAAATGATACTGCATCCGTAGTCTGACAATAATCTTGATGACTAGCAGTCCATAAATTTAACTGTCTGTCAACTAGTTTGTTTCGTAAATACCCACCCCCAAAAGCAAAAAAACACCCAACATATGATCTCTTCTATATATCACAAAAAATCTCACCCTTAATTTTGTGTATTCCTGTTTGGCTTCTGCAATTAAATCCTTTGTTATCGGCGCATTTTCTGTTAGTGCTTTAAACAAATGATCAAGCTTATTGGTCATCAAGCCGGACATAGTGGTTTTTCAATACACTGTAAAAGAAAAATAGCAAAGTTATATAAAATTTTCAGGAAAATCATAAAGAAAGTGAAGTTACTACCTCCCCCATGAAAATGAGTAAACATTTCCAATTGTCTGGTAATCGAGATTAATCAAGGTTTCCAAAAAAAGTAAACCTTAATTCAAACTTGAAATAATCAGACACTAGAAATCATTCACCAAATATTTAATATATTCAACAAGTAACAATTCAAGGAAAAACCTTTCTGGATTTTGTTTTATCATATATATCTATATCACATACATCAGTACAGAGAACAACAACTGCATATACAATACATGCATATACGCGTATACTTAAGCGGTTGTCCCTTTCTATATTTTGCCATTTACCACGTTCAATTGACAATTGTGAATTTATTGTTTTAAATTTACAAAATCTAACAGAATTTTGAAAAAAATCAAGGATGTTGAAGTATTTTTCAAATACTGATTTCGTTTTAAAAATCTTATTATTGATTGCCTTTGTACATGTTTCAATATCGGCAAACCCCCTTTCTGGGTAAACTAATATAAAAGTCTCTGTTTGATATTGGCTTTAAGCCAAATTTTATTATCAAACTTCTGAGTGTCCCATATTAGAAGTAACCACAGTCATCAAAATTTGCTTTAAAGATAAAAACCATTTCATATTTACATTGTGATTTGTGAACATGCAGTATTGATATCTATATATAATATTACAATAGTTTGACAGTCTTCCACAAATAATCCCAGTCCAAATGTAAACCATTCTATATAAATAAAAAGTTGTGGTATGAGTGCCAATGAGACAACTCTCCATCCAAGTCACAATGTATAAAAAGTTAACAATTATAGGTCATAGTTTTTATGTCTTTTACAGGATTTGAAATGAACCTTTTCCAGTACATCATTGTTACCAAACCCCCAGACTTCGCACCCATATAGCAGAATAGGCTTACTCATTTGATCAAATAATTCTAACTGACAATTCATGGACACTTACAGTTGATGCATCGCTATGATTACCCTTCCGGTTCAAGTTTTCTTTTGTAAAGTTAAAGTTGCATGTTTTAGATAATGTGATACCAAGATAACAAAAGATATTAACGATCTCGATATCATTATCTCTCAAATGTAGGTATTTTGGTGTTCTACTCATACCAAATACCATAATCTCGGTCTTGTCAATATTGACTTTCATTTTCCACTTCTTACGGTATTCACTGAAACCTTCTAGCTCCTTTTGCAAAACTTGTGAAGTTTCGGCCATTAGAACAGTATCATCGGCGTAAAGTATTACCATTAATTTTATGTTAACATCCAGTTCATATTCTATATCGTCAAACATCGATTTTAACCCTGATATATTTTACTGGAAAGAAAATCTTGTAAGTCATTTAAAAAAAGATAGAACAGAAAAGGGAATGTTCACCCTGTCTTACTACCCCCCCCCCCCCCCCTTTCTGGTGGGGTTCGTGTTGCTCAGTCTTTAGTTTTCTATGTTGTGTTTTATGTACTGTTGTTTGTCTGTTTGTCATTTTCTTTTTCAGCCATGGCGTTGTCAGTTTATTTTCGACTTATGAGTTTGAGTGTCCCTTTGGTATCTTTCGCCTCTCTTTTACACCATTGTCACATAGAAAATATTCAGAAGTATGATTATCCTGGGAAATACAAGATTTAATGATGTGGTATATATTGCAAAATGACTAAATACATTTTCCAATCTATATGAATCACTAACATTTTAAAAAATAATGCGTTTCTCAACACGGTGTCGAATGCTTTCCTAAAGTCTATAAATGCAATAACTTTCTCCCTTCTTTAATTTCAGGACTTCAAAAAGTAAACATAAAAAGTGAATATGTTATCCATGGTGGAATCGAACCCGGCCTGATTTTCTTGTATGATTTGAAAATCTTCGGAAAAAGTATTCAGTCTCTGTTATTCAGTACAACAGTGAATAATTTCCAAAGAGCTGACAACAGTAATGAGCCTATAGTTTTTTGGACCATCTATTATGCGTCTCCTTTATTTTTATAGAACGGTTTAATTGTGCTAATCACCAACATTTGTGGTACAGGCCTTTTTCAAATATCAAATTGAAAATCTTTTCGTATAATTGCATAAACGATTTGCTGAGGATTTTATACATTCGTTGATAATTTCGTCTTCTCCACAAGCTTTGTCATTTTTAAATGTTTAACACAGCTTAGGATTTCTTTCATAGTAATTGGAGCGTTTCGAACATCAAATATATACAATCGCTATATGGATATACTATCAAAGTTCATTGTGAAAACGTTAAAGATATCAGATAACCAAAATATGTAATATTAGAACATATCTTTTTCCTTATTTTGGACCTTTTTCTTTAAATTTTTTGCATAGATTGGTGAGAATGAAAATGTGAAATAGCATTTTTTAGAAACTAGATACATCATTTGGAAAAAATTAGAATTTTGTAAGGTAGAAGGAAACGAAGAAATAAAGATATTTTTACTTACATATTTATATAAGACAGGTATATGATCCAACATCAATAAATAAATTTACATTTTGATTTAATTTAACGCGTAGACTGTTAACGCTTGTGAACTTTTTAAATCTAGTTTATCTGGTTCTGTTGTGTTTGACTTTATATTATATATATATTAATAAAATCTGTTTGAATATTCTACGCAACATCGAGCAAGCAAAATAGCCGAAATATTATCGTGTTTTTGAAACGGTATAATATTTTGAATGGCACATTGAAATTTTTAAATTTCAATTGAAAGTTAAAGTATCTCAATCCAATTTATAACATACAACATTGTTTACCAATCGAGATGAAATTTTACCCACCTACAATTGCACGACGACAAGTCATTGCACTTTATTATTAAGTCGAGAGATTTATTTCATTTTGATATATAAAAATAAGAAGATGTGGTATGATTGCCAATGAGACAACTCTCAACAAGAGACCAAAATACACAGAATTTAATAACTATACCCATACCGCATGGTCAGCTATAAAGGGCCCGAAATGACAAATGTAAAACAATTCAAATGAGAAAACTAACAGCCTGATTCATGAACAAAATAATGAAAGAAAAACAAATATGATATACAGTAACAAACGACATTGCATTTTTCACATGTAAACAAGATCTGTGGTCTGCTTTATCGTCCGACTTAATGCACCTAACTAATCGTCACAGCAACGTTCTCTGTATATGTTTTTCTTCCTTTATCATTTTTAACATTGCATTATAAGCGGGAGGTTTGGCTAGCCATAAAACTAGGTTCAACCCTCCATTTTTTCTTAAAATGTCCTGTACCAAGTCAGGAATATGGACAGTCCGTTTCTATGTATGTTGGCGTTTGCTTTTGTTGTAGTTCAGGGTTTCTGTTGTTCCGTTGTTTTCCTCTTATAATTGATGTGTTTCCCTCGGTTTCAGTTTGTTATCCGGATTTGTTTTTACTTAATCGAATTATGACTATTGAACAGCGGTATTATGTATAATTTGTTGTCGGTTTTAACTTTGTAAAAAGTAAACAGACACCAAGGGGACAATCACAGCCAGAAGTCGACAAAAGAAAGAAGAAAAAAAAAACGATATGAAAACAGACAAAAAACAGTCGGAAAAACACTACGCAGAAAAATCTTACTAAATAAATTGGCGAAATATATCCAGTAAAATCAAGAAAACATGTTCTTTTTTCTACATTGACTATAGGTATAGGGGGAGGGTTGAGATCTCACAAAACATGTTTAACACCGCCGCATTTTTGCGCCTGTCCCAAGTCAAGAGGCTCTTGCCTTTGTTAGTCTTGTATGTTTTTTAATTTTAGTTCATTTATATGTTTTGGAGTTTAGTGTGACGTCCATTTTCACTGAACTAGCACATAATTTTATTTAGGGACCAGCTGAAAACCCCTCCGGGTGCGGGATTTTGTCGCTGCATTGAAGACCCATTGGTGGTCTTCGGCTGTTATCTGCTCTTTGGTCGGGTTTTTGTCTCTTTGACATATTCACCATTTCCATTCTCTATTTTATGTATCACTTTGTTTTGTTACTACATTCTAGTATTCATAGTATACGTTACCACAGTCGTGTTGATTATTGGTCGAAAAAAAGCAAAATAATTACAAAAAAAAGAACATTAATTGGGTATTTCATAGAAGTTTTTTTGTAAGTTTACAAAGACGAACGTCAAGCCATTATAACCTTACGAGTCAAGTTAGCTAAACTTGTATTGCCTCACTAGAAAGCTTCCTAGTATTGTGCGGTGATTTGACGTATACCTTTGTCAGTACATTTAATACCAATAGTGAGATTCTTGTTTCTTTAAGCCAACCCAGCTTGATGTTATTAAAAGGAACGGAAGTCGGAAAGCAAAATTTCAAATTCTGTTTTATTTAGTTTTGTCATGAATTTCCGGAATAAATGAGTCCTCCTGTTGGTATTAAGTTTTCCGTTCTCATCATTTATACTGCAGATGACTCCCCATGACAATATTTCCTTTTAATAATGGAAAACGAATTATAGAGCTAAACCCATCGAGTAATTGAACTGACATTTCCTTCCATTTTATTGCAAAGTTCTCTTAACAATAATGAAAAATGTCTATGTTCAAATATTTTGACATTACAGTGTCTACTTTTTTGGTTTAAAAACGCGACAGGACATTAACAGACTAATCAAATATGACCTGATTAGACCTTACAGTGACAACAGTTGTCAGTGAAGCCACATCCTTTAAAACAACAGTCGTAGAAACTTTCCGTTTTGGAATCAGTGATACCTAAAGTGTTTTCTGATCGATAAACGAAATCCTTGCACAACATGTTAATCGGCAATTCATCGCACTAATCGTTCGTTTTTAGTTTAAGTCCTTAAATTTTTCCCAAATCTAAACGTTTTTTTTAGTCTTTTGGTAAAAATGTTACCTTAGGACTAAGGAACCACACAATAAGATCTGTTGTATGTGTTGTATTCATTTATATGTAATAAAGTGCTTGCTTTTTTGTGAAATTTCATTGTCACTTGAACTGCTGTTCCATTTGCCAGTTTTGCGTTGCTCTATCTTTAGTTTTCTGTCAGTAATATTTTAGCATCTCATCGATGTCCTGAATAAAAGTTTTTAAAAGTTACATACTTTAGAGTATTATTTTAATGATATTGAATGGTCTTTTATGAATTTGGTTTTGGGCAGATATTTTGTAGTGTCTGTTAAATGACCACAACTTGTCTAGACTCTGGACGACTGAGAGGTTGATATATGGTATATTAGCTAGACACTTGATCTATATCTATGTTGCCCACTGGATAATTTTATTCTGGTTTAATTGCACTTGCGGGTTTGAGTTGCAGTCTTATAAACATGAACCCCATTACTCTTTTTATCCAATCACAATTTTCTCATTGTGAAACATGAATAATGTAATAAAAGAAACCTTCGAATGGTCGTTGATGCTATGTCCTGAGAAAAAACACCCGTCGTGTTACTCGAGTAAGTACACATTCATTGATAAGTCTAATTCTGTGATGTCAAATTCGAGAAAAAGGAGACGACGCAGAATGTAGCAATTGAAACATATCTGTCATCATTTGTGAAACAGATATTCCTTAACGGTCAACCAATTCGTACGTGCCTCAAAACCCGTAAAATTTTCGACGGGAAGACTTCAACACCACCACTTGGAACCCACGGTTTTTAACAGCTCCCTTGTAAGCAGTCATTATTATATATATCATTATATAATAATTTCGATATAATAAAACTTATCTGAAACCTCATTTGTCAATCATTGTGGTCGTAATGTTGTTGCATATTTTCAAGGCCCTAAACAAGAAACAAAATAGTAAGGATTAATATGCAATTATTTTGCTTGATCGATGTTGCGTAGAATATTCCAACAGATTTTATTAATATATATATAAAGTCAAACACAACAGAACCAGATAAATTGGATTTAAAAAGTTCACAAGCGTTAACATTCTACTCGTTTAAATTCGAAACGGAGGCTATACAGTTGCTTGTCAAAGTATCACTAGTACGTTTGTAATTGCTAACCCCAATTTTTGATTTTGTTGAATTTTTTCATCATTAACATATCTTATGCTGTTAAAATCTAGGAATATGATTCCAGCAGTTGTTGTCTTTTTATCCATCACATCTTTGTAACGTCCTGGAGTGTTATTTCTATTATTGACACCTCTTTTTACAGTACGTGTTTCAAAACCCGACTAGCAACCCTTTGGACTGCCATCTCTGGTTCGTTGGTACCTATCTTAATGTTATGAAACGTCTCGCAGTCGTGTCCTTGCTTTTTTAGTGGAAAATCATAAGTACGACCCCGGTCGGGCCAAAACAAAAACTTTTAATTTGGTATTTGCTACTTCTCCGCCAATTATGCAGCATTTAGGAGCAAGACCAGTTGGTTTGGGGTTAGAAAGTTAGAAAGCTCGTGTATGTGACATGTTTTCATGCAAAATGTGACCTTGTCAACATACTAATTTTGACTCATCTTATCAGTTTTACAAACCTGGCTATACTTATATGTCATGAACACGTTCTTGCATTGAATATGCATGTAAAATATGTCGCTAAGCGATAAATGACGTTTGGAACGGGGTGTCTATACCTAAGTTGATTGTACATCCATCCCTGCTACATCATGTTGGTTATAAAAAAAACAACCATTTTTTTTAAATATATATAGGAACCATGGAATTTCTTTGTTGAAATTGTCTTCTTATCTTGGATTTGCCTGATTGAAGACAAGAAATTTGGTATTGTATTACTTATCTGTTAGTTACCGATCAGACATTAAATTTTGATGTTATTGTTGATTTTTAACAAAATGTTAATCACGTGTAACCTCCAAATCGTGGTTCTCGTTGCGTTGAAGACCCATTTGTGGCCTCGGGGTGTTTTCTGCTCTTTGGTCGGGTTGTTGTCTCTTTGACACATTCCCCGTTTCGTTTCTCAATTCTAGTTGTCCCCAATTCTGACCTCAGATGAGCAGAGTATAAAAATGAAAACGCATTCCAACAAATGATTTGTTTTTAAATAGCCTGAATTTGTTTTTAATAAGCATGATAATTTGTTTTTAAGAATCATATGAAATTGCGTTTTCGTATGTTAGTACTTATCTATATATTGTAAGTTTTATAATTTCAAAATATTATATTTGCCACATACAAAATAAAAAAAACCATTACAACAATTTGCAGTGTTTATTCACCCTAGTGAACAGAATTTTAAGTTTTCCATTTTTTTTTCTTCTTCAAAGTATTAAGTAGTTACGATTGTCAAGGTTACATCAAGGATCAGTCTAGAACGATGGACGCCTTACTTTATTAAATAAAAATATTGTATGATATTTGCAGTGGCAAGAATCATTGGTATTCTGTGTAATAACATATTCCCCTGTCTCTAGCAGAGGATGCCATGTTTACTTTTAATATGTAAGAAGGAAATATATATCAACTTAGTTGGAAATTGAATACTATATCCACTCCAACATCATAAAACAAAAACAATATGTAAAGATCTCGATTTTTAATTTGATAGTGCTTTTCTTGGTAGTGAAATTACGAATATTAATCACTGTAAAGCCAAAT